TCTCGAATTTGGGATTGATAGTTTCCGGTTCAGAGTATTTCTTTCACAAAAAGCCCTACAATGCGGGCCTATTTTGGACAGAGGCAGGCGGGTACATTCATATGAGCGCATAGTTTTACTACTATTAGGGGGGTATCTTTGGGAAAAAGCGAATAAAAAAGTTCATAAAATTGAAACGAAAAGTGATCAATCTGGCCATAATCTTGAATTTCCAGCCAAAAAAATGAAGACCAACCTCTTCGCGAGGTTCACGAGTCGGCGCTATTTCGGTCTACGGGCGCGTATTTGGTGTAATGCAACCTTGAGACTGAGTGGGTCCGAGTTGACTCGAGGTGGGTCCGAAATAGCCCCATTAGTGTGGCACGGATCACTCCCGATAAATCGGGAGTGATCCGTGCCACATCCCACACTAGTGGGGCTAGGTCCGAAATGGCGTGGGTCCGAGTTGATGTGGGTCCGAGTTGGTTGTGGGTCCGAGATGGTGGTGGGTCCGAGTTAGTATCGGGTCCGAGTTGGCGTGGGTCCGAGTTGGAATGGGTCCGAGTTGGAATGGGTCCGAGTTGGAATGGGTCCGAGTTGGTTTGGGTCCGAGTTGACCTGATCCCGTACGTGTCGGTGGTTAATCGTCTTGATTGATCATCAATCATAGAAAAATAGATGTCAATTTAATTTCAACTTTCCAATGTTCCTGCCGTTAGATACAAACATTTATGGGAGTAAATGTAACAATTAATACATATTCACCTGCAACACAAAGCATGAACAATTCAATGACAGTCGGCTATCATAAAATATTAGAAAATATAGCCACTTAGTAATAGTAGTTCAGTACCGTGCCGGCCGTCTGTCCGCGCCCGGCCGTCGGAAAATCCGTTTTTAAGCACAGTGCCAAAAAAGTATATCGAGAGAGGGCGACATTTGTATTTGACAGCGCCCTCTAGTGCGCCGCGGTGCCGTGCGAGCGAGTTTCACAATGTACATGTACAGTATATGACAGATCCTAAACGAAGAGCAGGGCCGTTTTTTCAACTTTGTCTCCGTCTCAGGCTTCCTTCCCAAAACCAATCCCCGATTGTGGGCCTGAAGCGTTTAACTTACATCGGATTACTGTAATTTTAGGCTTTCTTGCATCTCATTTGATATTCTGTGCCGCTATTAGACTGATTACTGCGCTCTAGCTTCAAAGTCAGCTAGTAAAAACACAGCTGATGAAGCCTCAGACGGAGCCGACTCGGAAGTTGAGTATTGGAAAACGGCCCAGCCTCCAAACAGGTATAGGGACATGCTGTAACTGTATGACACAGTCGGCAAAGCCTCCAGGGGACTCATCACACCGACTGCATTAGGTTTACGCCTCCNCGTGGGAGATTGACGCAAATTTAAAACAACCTATCAATGAAAAATGTAAGCTTCTCATGCGATTTAACAACACAGTCAATGGATTGGCATTGCAGTAGGCCTCCCGAGTACCGTTGGCTGACAACCACGCTGAGATCAATGGTGTATAGGGTCAAAAAACAGCTCCAAAGATCACCAAAAGAGCAAACTTGATCACAAATGCTCTCCAAGAGCGCACAATCTACCGTTCACAATCAACACATAGACGAAAGACCAAATTAGAACCAAAGCAAATCACAAGGCGTAAAAATGACGAGAACAATTAAAAGCAACTGCTTTTCCTGCCTTTCGAGTAACAGAATGCATTTTTTTTCAAAACAGAGAGTTTTTCAATCTCTAATGCAATTTCCTAAACTCAGTAAAATCTTACGGACCTAACATGTTTTTCGGCTAGAATAAGATTTTACAGACTCATGTTTTGAGACCAGTGCACGGTGTTAGTAAATCTGTACCAGAAATTTGGAGGGATGGGGGAAAAGGTGTAGGGGATGACTTGCCCGGCCATGCAAACTTGAAAAGCGGGGGTGGGGTGTGAAACCATATGACTATATAGGCCTAGAAGTCGAGGTTCGTGATATTGATGTGTATCTGTAATACGTGTTCAGGGCATATTTATGGCTTTTAAAATTGTTTTTCCCTTTTTGAGTGACAATGAACGCACTTTAGTCGACGGAAGTCTGAAAAGTTCTTCACAATGGGCTGCAATTTTTTGTTCACCACAAAAAGTGTGTGTGTGTGGGGGGATCAATAGCCTATCCCGCACCTCAAAAAGTATATACCCCCATCTTTCCAGGGATTTACGCCCATTTTCAAGACGCAAAGATGTTTAATGCTGACATCCTACCGTGCCAACCAGTCAGCAGATAATGGGATAGTATCATTTGTCCTTCGGGCGCGGCCCACGTGGTGGCCAAGGAAGAAATTCAAAACGCAAAGATTTGCTACTTGCAATCATATCCCTCTTTTCCAGGCACGGCAGAAACAGCAGGCTAATAAATAGACCTATTGGTTTGAATTGGACAATGAAGTATCTGCAAAGTGGTCTGGCTAGGATGCTCTGGGGCAACTCAAGCGGTCTTAAGGTGGCTCATAGGGCCTATACTGAGAGTAAGCGATTCGGGCGACTTTTGCCAGAGACTAGTCGCGACTTTGTTTGGAATTTTCTGCGACATTCATGCAATATCTTACAATGGTGGCACGATTTTTGTCAACTTGTGGTCAATTTTATGTTGCAAATTCGGCAGAAGTCGGAAAATATTAGTTCGACCTCCTCACGACGGCGACGTTTGGCACCCTCAGCGAACTTTTACGTGAAGGCCAGAATGCGACTTCGGTAACTTGGAAAGCTTCTCTAAACTTTGTCAAAATAATGTTGCGGGTTTTTCAGTTGGTGAAAGCTGGCAACATTTCTGAGATGGTTTGGTACCAGTCGCAAAACACTTGCAAGGATCTGAGACTATTTCAATTCGATCTGGCGATCAATGCATGTAGCACTATGGTAGAGTTCGATTAGCTTACACGTATGGTGTACTATTTACGACAAACATTTCTCTCTCTCTTTAGCCTCCCTCCAGGCGACGCAACCAGACGATACGACAGCTCCCTTGCGTCGTGCCGTCGGGTCGAACCGTCGCCTTCTTGCCATTTCGTTTGTACGCACACGACGCGTCGCGTCGTACCGTTGCCCATCGCATCGTGCTGTCTTAGGTCCTTTCCTTGTGGCACTTTTTTCTGCCTAAACGTTGCCCCTTCCGTCGCCCGTCGCGTCGTGCTCTCGTGCGTTGCGTGCCGTCTCCCTTTACTTCATGGTGTTTATAGAGGGCGCCTTTACTGTTTTCTTTCATCCCCTTCCCCCGGCCCGTGCACAGTACATGCCATAGGTATAAGGCCTTCATTCTGTTGTTCTTTTTCTTGCATTCTTTCTAACTTTGTGTTTTCATCAAGAGTGAGTTGTTGAAGAAAACTCTTTTCCTTTTTGTTTTAAATGAAATGTGATCAGAAAGAGCTTCGCGACTAAACAGCATTGTCTTCAGGAAATATATAACATTAACGTCAGCCACAACAATGTTTTAGCTTTTCCTGATCTAATTCTGATTTGTCTGATAATTATTGTAGACTGTATATTCTGAGGGAAATAATGTAATGCAGGCTGGATAGTAACTACCTAAACCCGTGGTCAAACTTGCAGTCGTACAATTGTAGACAAATTATCTGGAGGAGTGGGAGAACTACTTGGAAACTGCAGGCACGGACCAGAGAGAAATATAAGGTTACAAATCTCCCACAAATGGGAACTTCATCAACGGTCTTAAAAAGAAATTGGACGGACATTGGAACAAGGATCAGCCGGGTAAATTAAAAAGTGACAAATTCTGGGCTTACACTTATAATGTCAGAGCACCTACATACGCAGATTTTCTTTTTGCCTGTTTTCTTTTTTCCCCCATGAAATATGAAAAAACTAATTCAATTTGATGAACGGTGAAACACCCCCCCCCAAAAAAAACCCTGCGGCTCAAGGCATGTATTTTGCAAGCGCGTTGGATCTGGACGGAAATGAGAGAAAATAAAAGAAATCCTTGGCTGGAAAATTAAGGCGTGACGAATTCTGAGCTTGCGGTTTTTCTTTTCCTCTTTTATCATTTTTTCAATGAAGACATGACTGAAATTAATCTCAATAAACGAATCGCTGAGATAAAAACAATTAAAAATCAACACCAAAGAGCGAATTGCATGTACTTTGCAAGAAAGGTGGACGGAAATGAAAGAGAACAGTAAAGGCGCCCTCTATAAACACCAGGATGTAGAATGCGACAGAACACGACGCGTCGTGCTTCAGGCGACGCGATGCACGACACGACGCGACGGATGACGGAAGGGGTGACGTTTAGGCGGAAAAAAATGCAACAAAGAAAAGACCTAAGACGACGCGACGGGCGACGGCACGACGCGACGCACGACGCGATGCGTCGTGTGTGTACAAACGAAATGGCAAGAAGGCGACGGTGCGACCCGACGGCACGACGCAAGGGAGTCGTCGTGCCGTCGCGTTGTGTAGTTGCGTCGCCTTGAGGGAGGCTAGAGAGAGAGAGAGAGAAATGTGTGTCGTAAATAGCGCACCATATACACGTGTAAGTCACCACGACCAGCGAGCAGGTCTCTGGACGCTGCCCGAGTGTAATGACGTCATGGATGGACTGTTTGAGCATCGACACGATGGAACATGGCAGGGATGCGACCTTTTTCCAGAATGCCTTGGTGAATACACTGGGTGCGTTCGATTAGCGTACACGTGTAAGTCAAACATAAACGAGAGCGTTCGTTTGGCCATCCCGTGATCTTCGTGCCTGCCCTGGTGTCACCGCTACCTTACCTTAGCTGGTGAGCGGGTCTCTGGGGCGCATCCTTACAAATAAATTCCCATGGACGGCAGTGATAAATCCCCATACACGTACTTCAAAAATATTTTTAAAATACTAACAACTCTCACAGGTGTTCAGGCTGCACAGAAAAATGATGTTCCACAACTACGTCCTCTTTCATTTTCCTTTCAATTTTTAGTGGGTTGACCATGACTTTTTGAGAAATTCTCACCCAAAGAAGACTATCCCTAAAACGAAGGAAATTTCACTGCCCGGGAAAGTGGCCATTTTGAAAAAGCATCCCTCTGCAAAATGGCTCAAATAGTGCCACTTTCGGACCCGATTGCATCCCAATTACTCAGAATGGGAAGCCCCGAGTCCGGCCTAGAGGTTCAGTCTCATATTTCTTCAATTCCCCAGTTCCTTGGCTCTCAGGATCCTCTAATATAGAATGTTTTGAGTGTATGAGCTCGGCGGACATATTTCTGGCCTTAATATAACTTAGTAGGGTGAAAGCTTACTCCTTTTTTCTCTTGCCTGTTACTGAGAGATGAGACAGCAGTAGGGTGAAAGCTTACAACTTTTTTCTCTTGCCTATTGGTAGGGCGAAAGCTTACTGTTTTATAGCTGGGCAGTAAGCTGCCAGCTGAGGCTAAGAAACAGGCTGTAAAAAATGAGTTCCGTTCCAGCAACGCAGGGAATACTTTTGAATGCATAAATGTCAGGTTCTATACATCCCAAATGTTATGTTAAAAGATTTGAAGTTTTGCATTGTGAATGAAACACGAGAAATGGGTTTGCGAGTGGCCAAAACGTCGAGTTTATACTCGCCAGTTCTTTTAAGGACCACTCCTCGTCCAAAAGAGATTGATTCCAGGGTGTACACGCAAACCAAATTCTCATGTTATGTTAAAAGTTCTCCCAAAAAATCTTGCAGTTTTTTAGTAATCCCATCTCAACGTTTACCATAGTCTTGTATGCTATAATGCATCATACGCTATACGCTTCCAAGGCATTGTTTGGGCACTTCCAACTTCCAACTTAGAGATGTGTGATTATGTCAGAGCTTCAATATTATAAATTTTGATTTGTATCATGAATATAAATAAAAAATTAAGAAAAGACAGCACATGATTTTTGTCAGGTGACACCACAGAAAGGCTTTATGTTTTTCTTAAAAGATTTTGATCTGGTAGACACCACCATTGTTATTTTGGTCTCAAAATATTTCGTGATCTGGATTATAAGAATAAAAAGATATAATGCAAAAAGAGAGTTCATGAGAGCTTCTACGTCTGTTTGCAACAGAACCAGGGCTTTGTCGCTTTTCAATGAAAATGTCATCGTCGTGATTGCATATCTGCAAAGTTTCATCCCGCTCAGGCATGCACTTCTGAAGATACAGGGCTTTAAAGCGTGCACCTTTAATGTCACGTGACTTGTCATCAAATGACGTCATTATCACACGTCAATTTTCGTCTATAACACCTTCGTTACTAACTATCTTAATGACTGACACAATTAATACACAATGTTGACTTCCATCAAGTGAAGGCCTGCTACACTCTTTTCATAATACATGTACAAATTTAACTGACACCACCACAAACTGTACACTTTCAGTTCAGTTTAATTTGTAAACAAAAGTTCAACATCTCTTCAATATCTGTTTGGAATAAGATGACCTAAATTGCGATCTCAAATAAGAGCAAGGTATGTTTACCTTGCCTACTTGAAAGAATAATGGGCAACAAATGATTTCATGAATAGTTATTTCAAATGTGAATGCTTAATTCAATTCACTCTGTACTTCTTTACCTCATCCCTGTCGATACTATGGTCGAATGTTTTGAATTATTAATCAGTCAGGTAATGCAAACGTGGAATTTCATCAAGTGAGGGCGCACTTCAGTTTTCTCATAAGGGGTTTGATGCACAGATTGCCCGATCAGGGATTTGCTTACTTTTAACAACTGTATTCGCGAGTGCACAGCAGCACAAACTCTGATTGTGGAATTAAAGGGTGTGTTAATAACTACACTCAAAATATTGAACAGTGAAACTGGTCCAGAAGTTGAAGGATTATCAGAGTTAAAGATTGTTTAACTGTCCTTACTATGTATAAAGGAAAAGAGGAAAACTTTATTTGTGCTTTAGGGCATTTCACTATTGTATATTATATAAATACCGGTAAAGATTATTTTGCCCTACATACTAAAGAAGACACGGGAACACCTTTAAAATATCAGGATCTTGTGACCGCTGAAAACTTTGTATAATGCTTCCAAAATCCGTGTTCCCAATTTCTGCAGTATCTTGAATAAAACATGCCAGGCACATGTACTCGTATATTTATATATCTCTTGTCCTATTGGCGGCAGTTTTTGTAGATAACCATGATATTTCGTTAAAGTCCTTCTGTAGATCAGTCTTGGTACGAAATGCATTTCCATTGACCACACCATCGTGTCAAAAGACCTCCTTTGTGTATGTGCTGGTAAAAATTCTTCTGTGTCATCTAAAAACAAGGAAAATGTTAATTCATTGTGCATCAGTTATATGCTGATGCATGGAAAAAAGGTGTAAGAAC